TATATATGTCCATAAATTTTGATATCTGAACAAAATTGATATCTATCCCAAAGTCATCCATCTTCCTTAAGTTTAGGACTCTGAGACCAATGAATATATTGTCATTCAAGGATTAAAAGCAGTGAAGAAAAGTGTTATGGTCAAACAAACGAAAATATTCATATCCACAGGCTGCAACACGCAATGTTGACACATTATTTTGAAGTCGACTAAGCTCGACTAAATGTCGAAATCGACGAAAAACGAGCCAAAAAACAGTTATTGAGCTAATCAATCAAATAAATACTTGGCATAAGTTTGAAGGTCCATAGTCCAAATATTTGATGAGCTTCTTTATCCCATTTATACCAACAAAATTTTAAAAATTCCCTGTATTTAGATATTCGCCATATTGATCGCCACGCTGTTTGGCAAGAAATCGACATGTCAACTTGTCCCGGCCCGGAAATGCCCTGTTTACTTGTTACACAGGATATTAATAAGTTACTGTGAAAATATGAAGATAAAAGTATCTTTTAAAAAATAAAACGTCTCAAACCTCGATTTGAAAGGCTTTTAAAAACGCTAATCCGTTCGGAACCTACAAATTCGAGGGGTGGTATTTAAGCTGCGCAACGCAAAGTTTGAAGACCCATATCTTCGCAATCACGCAATTAATCAAAAATCGCCACGAGGAAGTTGAGGAGAATTCTTTTAAGAACAACATATATGAATTTCATGGCAAAAAACCAAAAAACCGCTTGCAGCAAAGCTCTGAAGTAACCCCATATGTTTGTTTACAAATTTCATGTGATGAAGCGTTTTACGCATTCTGATTGGCTTAGGGCAAAAATGTAAACAAAAGCGCTGATTGGTCGAGAACGAAATTCCCCCTTGTTCCGCTTATATTAATTCGAAATTTAACGATATTCACCCCTACCGCAGATGGTTTGAATGCTTGTGAAAATGCCTACAATTTAGTGGGAGCTATATTCCTGTAGCTACTATATTGAGCGAGAAAACGTTATCTAAACGACGGGGTCAAATTCACACAATGTAAACAAAACTAATTGAAACCAGAATTATAATTAGAAAGTTTAATGCAACATAAACATACGACTTTTAATCGACTATATCTGTGCGAATATTACAGCTACAATAATTTTACACATATTGTCAGATAGCTGGTCAATTCAGCTACATTTTGGTACGAGCTATAATATTGTAGCTAGAATATTGAGCGAGAATTCGTTGCCTAAACGAGGATGTAAAAATTGCCGTCGGAATACACATTCTAGTCGGACAATATAATGTCTGGTTTTAGGCACGAGGTTCAACCGCTTATATTAATTCGAAATTTAACGACATACACCCCCAACTCGGATGGTTTGAAAGCTTATGAAAATGCCTATATTTTAGTTTTAGTTCTATTTTATATTCAGGTTAGTAGAAAATTCGCCGAGAAAATGTTCGCAACAAACTGTTGTTATGCCATGGAAATTCAAAAATATCTATTACATTTTCAAAATCTCGCCTTGCTGCGCATGTAAACACACGCATTTGAAGCTTTCAAAATATATAGTTATAAACCTTTAAAGACACAGTTGGAACAAAAACTTATTAAAATTGAAACGGCCTAGTTTGGAACTAATGATTTTCTTGAAAATCCGCCATTGTCCATTGATTTTGCGTCCTCGATCGTTTCACCGACAATCATCGAGCTTCAAATCGAGCTTCAAATCAACAGTAATCATGCAGTATTGATAAATAGTATTCACTACAAAAACTAACCTTCACTGTGTTTCCTCCAGAATATTAAAAAAAATAGAATATCAGTCTTGGCAGCCTTGCACAAAATCCGATTTCTTGAGGTTGTTTATTAACAACTTAAACATTTGTAGTATCTACCTAATTTTTCTTGAAAGTAACTATTTAGAGCCTGGATGTACGTCTAGCAGTTAATTAAACACTAAACGTCTTAATTAAACATTTATAGAAATTTCTTTAAAGTCACTATATTTGCTTTGTGCTCGCTAATTTGACTATTCAGCATGGTTCATACCTGGAGCAATTATTTACTGCAAAGCAAAGCCTCCTCCGCCTTACATAACTACGTGTATTTTAATATTGATTATTACATTCGTAATACCTGTTGTTAATACCCTGTTGTAATTACCTTGTTGTTATATATTTTTGCGTTGGGATTTCCGTAAAATATATCGCGGGTAAGGCATCAGCACTAGCTCTGTGCATTTCGTATATTATGTTGCATTCATGCTGTTTTCATCCAGAAATAGCACTAGCTCTGTGCATTTCGTATATTATGTTGCATTCATGCTGTTTTCATCCAGAAATCAACACCACCGTTAATGGTATTTTACTACGGGAGAAAAAACCCAGCACAATTCTCTATGACCTTGCATATATTTCGGCAAGCGGCTGAAACTCTAGCTGGAATTTACCATGTACTAAGTCTATGAATTGTGTCTCCGAAATAACGAATTATGTTAGGGCAATGAAACAGTCCGCATTTTATCCTTTTTGTCCGCATTCGCATTTTAACCCTTTCGTCCGTCCGTCCGTCCGTCCGCGTGTCCGTTCGTCCGTCCGTCCGCGTGTCCGTCCGTCCGTCCGCGTGTCCGTCCGTCCGTCCGTCCGCGTGTCCGTCCGTCCGTCCGCGTGTCCGTCCGTCCGTCCGTCCGCATCCGCGTTTTATCCCAACCCTTCCCGTGCATACAAAACAATAAAGTCATGAGTGGACAGAAATAAATATACAGAACTAAAAAGTAGTTATATAGACAAATTTAAATCAAATAGAAAAAAATATAAATAAGCATATATGCATCAATTCAAGATAATTTTTCTAATTTTGTCCCATGCATGGGTAAGTAATATTTTCTTATTAAGATTATTTTTCTTATTTCAAGAATACGTTCTAGCAAAATTTTCTTATTACTAGAAAATAATTCTTGGGAAACTAAGAATTTTTTTCTAGAAATAAGAAAATTTTGCTAGAACTTTTTCTTAAAATAAGAAAAATATTCTTGACAAGAAAATTTTACTTACCCACGGGACAAAATTAGAAAAATTTTGTTACCAAGAATTTTGTTGTAACCAAGATTAATTTTCTTATTTTAAGAAAAATTTTCTTGAAATCTGATTCTTACCTAGAATATTTTATTTACCCACGTGACAAGTAAACTTTTCTTAAAACAAGTAATTTTGTGCTTAAAATAATATATTAATATCTTAAAACAAGAAATTGGTTTTTTGCAGTGTGGGTGAAGGCTTCAACAGTGAACTCAATCTATTTACCTGGAACGATAACATTCAGTCATTTGAGAGTTAAAAAGTGAAGCCTCGCGTGAGCAACGCGTGAGCAGTGGCTTCAGCTCTCCATGCCATTTCCACGCCATATACTACGTCAGTTTCGTCCCTTATACTGGCTCACCGCGCGGTGTATCACAAATCAGCGCGCGTCAGCATACTGGCGTTAGCACGAAGTGGCGTTGGCATTGGCTTCACGTTTCTCTCATGTTATCGTTCCAGATAAAAGAAATGGAGTTCACTGGGCTTCAATTACCCTTCCAAAAAAAAAATTCGTAATACTGAACGCACTATTATGGCCTTTTGTGCTTGGTTTCGAAAATTGATACGCTATAATATTTAACAAAAATTTGCCGAAGGCGAATTAGTGATAACGTACCGGTGAATATTCACCGAAACGAAGTCGAGGTGAATATTCACCGTTATCGATCACTAAGCCTGAGGCGAATAATTGTTTTAGTATAATTTTTTAATGAATAAAACAAATATCCAAATATCAATTAAATTAAAATTCAGAAATAAAACTGTTTTCGGCCGGTTTAATTACGGTTACTGTTTTAAAGCAGTGTTACTTGTACACGCGCACGCTTTCAAAATGGCTTCCTGTGTGACTTTATCTTTATTACAAAGTTGTTTTTGTCTCCATTTCTGCTTAGAATGTACACACAATGATGAGATGACTTTTTCACCAAACTTAAAATTTAAATTTCAGAACCATCCTCAGAGATACGAAAAACCAGTTTCATATTATTCTGGTTTAAAATTTAAAAATAGTTTCTGTTTAGCATTAATTTGTTCAGGAAATGTCTGAGAAAATTGGTAAAATTGAATGTAAAACAATTGCTCGAATGCCTGGAAATAAAGTTTTAATACACTTTTCACTTTGCAAGTCTCGAAGACAGGACAGCGGCAGGACACCATACACAGCACAATAAAAACATGACATAGGCCTATATCGATTTTTTCAATATTTTGTAGATTTTGAAAAACTAAATTTGCCGAATCATTCTTTTTGAAAAGCATTATTTACTCGTCAGGTGGTAAATAATACGTCAGATTTACTAGTCAACTAGCCAATCAGAACGCGCGAAAGCTCATTTGATATACAACATTTATACTAAATACAATAGCTATACGCTCATCTGGCTATATTACTATATACAACTATTACAAAAGTTAGATTAGCACACATATAGCACAGAATCATCCTCTAGCTTGCACCTATCTCTTTTTTGAAGCAGCCGAGAGTATCGCCGATTTAGCTGCAGCGAAAGGTCATTCCATAACATAGCGCACTGTACTTAAAGCTTCTTCTTAGATATTCTGTTCTAGGTTTTGGAAGAGTTAATCATTTTCGCTATTTCTGAGATTATAGGTATTTTGTGTCACATTCCTTTTGTGAAGAGATTCTTTTAGACCCGGGGCAGCGTGGTCATTTAGCACTTTGTACATAAACACAGCCTTGGACTTATTTCTTCTATTGTCAAGTGTTTCCCAAGACAGGGTATTAAGAATGTCAAGTGACCTTATATCGTAAGTGGCACCAGTTATTACCCGTACAAGCGTCAGTGATTGTGGCTAATTCGAGGTTGCTAGTCAAAGCTAGTTAGTTTATTCAAATAAGTTTTAATTAAATTTGATCAGGTATCCTTTTGATCAGGTATCCTAAGTTTTAGATTCAATTTTTGTCTTATTTATATGTTCTTTATGAGTATAAAAGCTATTTCTACCTTCGCTGACGCTATCCTCTCTTCTTTATTGCTTCTTCGTTTCTTCCCAGTAATTTGTTCAATATCATCAACTGACAATAAATCTTTCCTGCACAAATAAAATAGACCAACATGAAATATTATTGTGTCTTCTTCATGATCTCATCACAAAATATAAAAAGTCATGAAGGCAATGGAGACGAAATTACTTTTCGGAAGGTTCGTCGATAGTTTGTTCACGTTTCCTTTTCTTTCCACCTTTTGGATTAACTTGTTGGATAATCTTTGTTAGCTTGATTTTCTTGAAATCTTCATTTGTGAAAATCTATATTAAAATCTGTTGTGAATATACGAACTAATTTGAATCTGAAATTTTTTCTTATATTTCATGCAATATGCAGTATAGCTTAATTTATAGTCTATCATGTTTCATGGTTGTCACAGCTTTGTTACACAATTATTCAGCTAGTAGTAAAAGTATTCGGAAATTATTGGTGGTGCCCCCCCCCCCCCACATGCTTATATTGCTCTAAATATGGCGTCAACAAGAAGACATGATAGGCAGTGCTGGTATTTCGATTTTATTTCAGGTTTTGAGCGCATATATCGTGTATTCTTGTTGATAACTCAAATCTTGAGAGCACAAAATGCTTTTATTCACAGTATGTTTTATATTGTATTTTCTAAAGTTGTCGGCTGGAAATGGATTCTGTAAATTTTGCAATCAAGTGTTTTTATATTTGGGTCAATAATAACTTTAATAAATAAATAAATAAATGAAATATAGAAACTGGTCAATCCTTACCTTGGTTTGACTTATTCTTGAAGCTACTAACTCCGGGTTTTCTTCATTCTCTTCGCACACAGAATGATTGTCTGCAGGCTACAAAGGGACAAAATACTCAGTATCACACTTTTCGGTATTCCTTTATTCTTTGATTTTTCCAAGCCAGGGGCCGGTTGTACGAAGATCGGTTCCTAAAATAACCCGTTGATTGATATAACCCAGATTAAACTTTTGTATTTATAAATTGAAGTTTCTTTTTATCAATAGCATTTTAAGTGTTTTAAAAACGATTGAAAAAATAAATCACTATACGGTGGATAGCACTATACACCCTTTGCACAACCGGCCCCAGGTAGTTTAAAAATAACCACGTATAACCTCACAGAGTAAGACTGGAATTAACTGGTAGAATCTACAATAAACTGCATGCACTGAAACATTCTGATGTACAGGATGATTCTTAAAATTGTTAAATTTACAATCATAGTAAATGGTCAAGATCTACCAGAGGAAAATGTTCATCTTTTACAGGTAAACTACGTGAAGCGTTCCTACTTTGACTTCCTGACTCATTTGGAATTTTCCTCATTAGCTTTGCAAATTTGAAAAACTCTTTGGAAATCCCTTGGGGGAATTTGAAATGTTCCTATCGGCTGTTGCAATATTCCAATGCAAAAAACTTCATTTTAAATTTTCCTAACTTCCTGTTCTGTTCTGAGCGTTGTCACTGGTGGATTATTTTTGTTAGCCAATTACAACGCACAGAGCAAAACAGGAAGTTAAGGTTACAGAACACCTTTGAGGGTTAATTTTGACTAAAATTTTTTTATTGGTTTCCATGAAAGCATTAGACTAGTTCTACTATCTGACCAAGTTTGAACGAAAAATGTTGAAAACTCGCAGAGTTATTTAATAAAATACATTTCGCTGCAATAAGAAAAACATTGAAAATGTAATATTCAAATTCAATTTTCTCCCGAAGAATTTTACGGTAATTACTGATTTTCAAACGAGTTGTGCTCCTGCGGGTTTTGACCAATTTTTCTCAAATTTTCACAGGACATAGCTAAAGACGTCAATTTCAAAATCGTGTTCGGCTTTTCTTTAATTTTCGATATTTTAATAATAAAGAGCAATTCACTCAAACAATTCAGAAATATATTGCAGTCGTCAAAGAAATCGCCATATCAGCGGAATGACGAAATAAACAAAAATTTCCGAACACAATTTTTTAGAACAACTATTTTACTGTATAAAAATGATATTTTCATAAATATAACTTAAAACCAGCAGGAGCACAACTCAAAAGCGTAACGGTACCGCGATTTAAGATTTTCCTGAATAATTCTTATATTATTTTATTGTTTGTTAATTTTACAACTTTACCATATTTTGCATACACTGGCGAACATTTGGTGAAAATTTGATTCAAATCGGACTGATATTGAGCGCGCAGTAGCGATTTTCCGCCAAACGCCAAAAAGGGTGTCCTGTAACCTTAAGAACTTCTAACAGGAACTGAGGAAAATTAGCAACATTGCAAATTCCCTCAAGGGATTTGCAAGGGAGTTTTTTAAATTGCAAAGGTAATGAGGAAAATTGCATTCGATTTAGAAACTCAAGAGAGGAACGCTTCACATAGTTTACCTGTAAACCTTTCCCTGACATAAATAAAGGGATAAACAAAGAGCTATTTATAATTAGATATACACACCGTGTTTTCTTCAGTCTCGTCAATGACGTCATCATTATCTTCACTATTTGTCTGTATGTCGTTCCACTCATCCTCACTGCTGACGTCATCATCCACATTCATCACTAACAACAATAGAGAACTTTATAAGATAAAGCACGTAATCAATTGTCGCGTGCACTTTAGGCAGACACTTTGGTCAGATTGTGCAGTTGGTGTGTGTGGTATTTTGTGGGTCGACAGACAGGCTCGCCGAGACGGGGGGAGGAGCGCGGGCCCGCAGCTCAAAATGGACCCCAAAGAGAGAACCTTAAAATTTCTTGATACAAGATTGCTAAACCGAGAATATAAATTTTAGCTGCGTCAGTGCCGAGTAATATGCGATAAAGCGTATTATAATGATTAGGGACCGGTCATTATTTAAGGCGGGGGGTGGCACCGAAGAGAAATGTTTTTCGAGGCAAAAATTTTGCCGACCCAACCATTAAAAAGTAAAAAAAATTAATTACCCAACCTCAAATATCAATTAAAAAATAAATACCCACCCCTGGCCAAAACATTTACGAAAGGTATCATTCAGTTGTCACATATGTCCTTTACCACTTCTGTGACATAAGTTTGATAACAGATTTTATAATATAGCATTTGTAAATTCTGAATGCTGATTGGCTAAGAGCCGTGTTGATATAACTCAATGTCAACACAGAAATGTCGGAAAATTTCTTTCTTTATATTTCTATGTGCTAAATTTTTTCAGGCGTCGTGTTTCCACACAATTCATTTCTCGTTTTCCCAATTTCCACTCGTGTTGATATAAAAGACCCATAGGTCCCATACTCGACTAGCAACATAATCAAGTTAGTTATATTAATTCATTAGATAGGATCAATGTTAAAGGCAAGGTGGGCTACAAGCAATAATCATTTGTATGGTTTATAGAAGGCTAATTGCTGTGAATAAATTGAATAATGAATGTAGCACAATATTAAATAGTTGCATGATGACGTCAAAGAGACAAGTCAGACTACATTTGCAAGTTTTGCAACTCTCATCGCTTAAATTCCCCATACCTGAATACAAAATAAACAGTAAACAACAATTACGTTTTACATACCCTACATAAAATGGAGTTTTCATCCTTTCTAGAAACTCACTTCCTGAACTTTTGAGTGCAAATGTAATGTACTAATGTATTAAAAATTTTTAATTGTATATCATATTTACAGCGGTTAATACCATTAATATATTGCGGGCACAATACAAAACATGAGAATTTTAAAATGTTAAGTTTTGATTTGCAAATAAATAAATAATATTTGATGTCATAAAAATTTTTTAATTTAACTCAACACAAACTGGTAAGTTCATGACATGTATAATTTACTTATATGTTTTATATTGCAATTATGTACCCTACTCCTTTGAAAATTGTTTGCAATTGCACA